CGAACCCCGGCAGCGGCGGTACCCGGTGGGATTTCTGCGCTGGGAGCGAGAGCCAGGACAGCGACAGGTGAGAGCAGGGACACGGGACACGGGACAGGGACAGGGACAGGGACAGGGACACAGCTCCCGGTAAGCGTGTCCCGCCAGGTGAGCCCCGGGCTGCGCACGCCGCGGGTGCCCGTGTGGCTGTGCAGTGTCTCGGGCAGGCACGGCGTGCTCTTCGGCACCGACAGCCGGCTGCTCTCCGACTGGAAATCCGAGAGAATTTTCCACCTGTACTTCTGCAGTGGGCAGCAGGAGCAGACCCGAACTGCCCACCTGACGATAGGTACGGAGCCGGGCTCACCAGGGACTGAGGGCTGGGAGTCACTGTCGAGAACTGTTGTTGTGTTAAATACTCAATACAAAGTTTAAACATACCAGAAAGCAGGACTGTTTCAGGATTAATTCAGAATTTATAAAAGCCTTCTCTCCAGCTGCCGTGTTTTGCCCCATCCAGCCCTCAAGCCCCACGCAGCCACTCACTCACTCCCCCACCAACAGGATCAGGGAGGGAACTGCAGGGGTAGGAAATGAAGAACTTGTGGGTTGAGACAAAGACAGGTTAATAAGAAAAGCAAAAGCCACACACACGCGCCAAGGAAAACAAAGAATGAATTCACTTCCTCCAGAGGCAGGCAGGTGTTCAGCCACCTCCAGGAGGGCAGGGTCCCATCACACACAGCAGTGACTTGGGAAGACAAACACCGTACTCAAAAGTCCCCCTCCCTTTCTCTTCCTTCCCCCCACTTTATACACTGAGCATGATGTCACACGGTCTGGAATATCCCTTTGATCATTTTGGGTCCCCTGTCCTGGCTGTGTCTTCTCCCAGCCTGCCACGCACTCCCAACTTCCTCACCAGCAGGAGGAACCCAAAAGGCCTTGGCTATACCAGCAATAACAAAATCAGCTGGGTTCTGCACAAATCCAAACCACAGCCCCACACCAGGCACTGGGAAGGCAATGAATTCTACCCCAGACAAAACCTGCACACCCACCTGCCCGGCTGACTGAGGCTGAAGTCTGTCTTGCTGCTCAGCACCAGCTGCCACCGTGGCCCTCGTGTTCCCCACCAAGTTTCATATCCCCCCAGGAGGGATAAACTGCTCCTGTAGCAACGCTTGGGTTGTGAACCAGGTTTTGTGCTTGGGGTGCAAGGTTCTTGTTTCTCTGCTGCTGTGCATCACTTACCTTCCTCGCTGGGTGCCTCCTTCCTTGCTCTCCTTTCACTGCAGCACTTAAAGCAAAGTCAGAACCTTGAAACTAAAGGGTAAATCTGCACGGAAGTAGAGCGATTTGAGATCAACTGTCATGATACCTGGTGTGGCCACAGATCCTATCTGAGCATCTGCTCAGAAAAGCAACATGCAAACACACTGTGCAAGGAGCCCAGGGCTGCACTTAGAGCACCGGAATTTCCCGGGGGCCCCAGGGGCAGGGGCAGTCCCCAGCTCGGGGGCCCTGCTTGAGCTCCCCCAGCTCCCTGGGGCAGACCAGCAGCACATCTGCACCAACACAGCTGCGGAAGCTTCTGCTTTTAGCCTTCACTGAAGCCTTTTGGAGTGGGGTTGGGTTTTTAAGATTTTCTTTTTTTAGACATTTATTTTTCATTTCCTCTTCAGACACTCATTCGCATCACTGGGAAGAGGCTCAAAGAGAAGGCCCCTGCAGCCCAGGGAGGAGGCGCCCAGCCCTGGAGATGGCAATCAGGACCAAGTGGGCAGGTGCAACCATCAGCTGGAACGGGACAGACCCCTTCTTTTGAGGAGTGAGCACAATGGACCCCTGCTCCTGAAGGAGCATCTAGCACACATTACCAACTCCACTGGTCACTGCAGTCTGGGGGACAAAACCTCTCTCCCCAGACAAACAGCCTTTGGTGCACTGAAGGGACACCCTGCCCACAAGGCATCACACCTTCACTGGGGGAACAGCCACCTGCAGCCCTGTCCCACTGCACACCCTCTTCAGGTGCTAGGATGCAGGAAAGAGTCAAGTCCCCGCACAGCTGCCTGGAAGCATTTAAAAGCTGCGCAGATTGGGATGGGATGTGTGATTTGGGAACTTGGTTTAGCGGTGGCCTTGGCAGTGCTGCGGTAATGGTCGGACCTGTTGGGTCTTAGAGGGCTTTTCCAACCCAAACTGTTCTGGGGTTCTATGATTCAGGGATTTTGCTGCCACTGCCAAATCCTGGCACCCCACATTAGCCTGACAAGCGTGCGCAGGGCACATTGCTTCCAGCTCACAGAAACCACTGTCCACTTCCTTTTTCACTGCCATTACTCCAAAACGACCTGTCAGTCACACCCTTAACGTGTTGCTAATGACAACTAACAATAAACCTTCTGCAAGTGATCCAGAAGCTTGGTTCAAATTTATTGAATCGAATAAACTAAATTTATATTGAATTGAATAATTTAATATATTCCATATTATAAAATAAGAAGAACTGGTGACCCCCAGCCTGAGATTATGCTGGGCCAGGATGAGATGCTGGTTACACCTGGCGTGGGGTCTGCGCTGCCCATCTCCAGTTTCTGCCCAGCTCAGGGCACCGCGGAGCTCGAGCTGTCCCCGGCGCGGAGCTGCGGCTCAGCCCGAGCGCTGCAGGGGACGGACAGCACCGCTGGCAGGGACCGCTCTGGTCCGGTGTCACTGCATGGTCCGGTGTCACTGCATGGTCCGGTGTCACTGCCCAGTCCCGGTGTCACTGCATGGTCCGGTGTCACTGCATGGTCCCGGTGTCACTCTCCGGTCCCGGTGTCACTCTCCGGTCCCGGTGTCACTGCATGGTCCCGGTGTCACTCTCCGGTCCCGGTGTCACTCTCCGGTC